CCAGCAACTCCCAATCTGTGCAATAGCGATTAACAGAACTGCCTTCCCTCAGAGGGCTTCCTGCAAGGACAAATGTATCAGAGTTGGAGGAGTTAGAACACAAAAACCAAGATAAATACACCCGGAGAGACCCAGAGAAGTGCTGCATGGGAATGTTTGGCATCAAGTAACCTTGACTATGTCCTCATCAGTGATGCAAAAAGCTGTATGAAGTAGAGGCCTGGTGGATGTTCTCAGTGTTTACAAGAGTTGGCCTTTGCTTCAATATTGGTGTCTGCATATCTGCAGTGTAATCTGATCAGTAGGGGAATACACTGTGATTTATACGTCATCATCTCTTGCTTTTGTTAGGATGTGAAAAACAAGTTCAGGAACCAGAACTGTCACATCTCGGGCAGAAAGAGCCCAGCTCCTCCTCTGCAGCCAGTACAGGCAGAGCAAAGCCTCCCTTTGCAAAGACACAGGTAGCTGAGTCTAAATAGGTAGTTGTTCCCACCACAGGAAGGCTAGAAAACCAAAAAGGTCCCGAACCGCATCCTCTTCTAACAGTTTGAGTGGTCACAAGAGATGAGGATGACTCTGGGGATCTCTGTAAGCCCAGAGGCAAACCCAGAGAAGGCACCAGTGGGCAAACGCAGCCGCTTCTGGAGGAGGCAGATGCTCAGGAGGTACCAGGGGGCTGCAGTGAGGGGGCCGGGAGGCTGCTGCAGTCCTAGACCAGCCAACACACCCTCCTTGAGCTGCAGGGAAACCCGAGGCAGGGAGGCAAGCTGAAAATCACAACAGAGTTTAGGTTACACTCAAGCAGTGCAGAATTCTCTCTGGTTTGAACCCCCACCGCAGTCTGCTGCGGCCAGAACGCCCTTGTTCAGCTGAGGGGAAGCTGCGACCACTGACATAAAACTCCCGCAGGAATAGCTGCACACTTCCTGTGGGAAGAGTTTGCCGTATCCAGGGGGTGCCTCGCTCTGCAATGCAAAGCAAGGTGCTCAAAGCTGACAGTGCTCAAAGGCTTATCCAGGCTGCTTGAGGAATTAGGGAACCGTGAAGGGATATGCCCCTGTATTCCGATAGCGCGGCTGGGAATGCAGAGTAGTGACTCAGTGTGTCCCAGAGGCCGGTCTCTGAGAGGGCAGTTGTGCCAGTATCTGCGGAAGAGTCAGTCCCACCATGGGCACGGGAACTGCCACACTGGGCTTTAGCTGGAAAAGGCCTTTTCTGCCCCTGAACTTGGTAAACACGGACACCTGACATCATATTCCTTTACAGTATGTTTATTTCTCAGTGCATTACATGAAAGGTCTTTGGTATTTGTGGGTTCTTGAATACTGCTCCCACTCTGCTCTGTAAGAAAATGCTGAATACAAAACATTCCATATACAGTAACAAACCCCATAGAGAATAAAGAGAAATAGCTATTTTGAACAATAACATAGCAATATGAAAACAGGTAAGTAACCATGCAAGAGGTGGAACAAACGGGTTGTGTTTACAACAAACATTAGAGCCTGCCACAAAGGAGTTCATCATGTCACATGAGATTTAGTCTTGCTCTGAGTTAAGAAATTACACGATTGCAAGATGCTGCGTATGGCTGCTCTATAAAGGACCAAACGGCTGTAAAGCTTATTACAATGAGAGAAGCCAGGACCATTTGCACACATACAAAACACACTGATATAAATAAAAAAATACTGTGTAAAATAACTAGTGAAAAAGTTAACATTTCCTCAGATGGGTGGGAATGTGCCTTGTGACAGTTATAGCACCTTTGAATTGCTTGGTTCCAACACAGTCGCAGACACTGCGAGCGCTTTAATCCCCTGGACCACCAAGCACCAGAATGGAATGTAATCGTGAATGAGACGAGCTGTAAACGTGGAGGAGAATGGATTTCCAATAAATTGTATCGAGAAGTAATTCCAGAAACTGATGATTGTCTTTTAGAAGCCTTTGTCACAGTGGTCAGGTTCCTACATTAAAATAATTCAGTGAAGAGACTGGGAGTGAACCCCCAGCCCAGAGCTGAACCCTCAGCAAGCTGCTCATGTGCCCTCTGCTTGGCTGCACTGGGCAGCACCAGACCATGCTAGCTCAGGAGCTGGACCTGATTTTTAGGGCCTGTTCCTTTGTTGATGGCAAAATGACTGGATTTTGGTGGGAGCAGGTGAGGGCTCTTCTCTCTAATTTACTCCTATTATTTCCCTGGGTTGTTATCAATTCTTTACAGTAAGTGCAAATTAGATACTCTGGAGAGAAACATTCTTCTCCTCCCAGGAGTACCAGATTGCTGGTGGACACGAGGGTGCATGAATTGCAAAGACTTGTGGTTGTGCAATGTGCTGCTGCTGCTGCTTCTGGTTAGCTTGAGGCAAGGAAAATGGGTTACTACAACCAGAACCAATCCAGGTCAAAACCACACTGGAGCTCAGAGAAACATTAAGCATTTCAACAAAGTCTTAGGAAAAGAAAAGGAAAAGCACACACTACGGTATTGCACAGTGGGCATGTAAGAGAAAGCACTAAACATTTCAATTAAAGTATATTTCTAAATGAGCACTGCATTCAAAATAAATCCACTCTCTAAGTTACACAGACCTGGCAAGATGCATTATATGCCCTGGCTAAAATGAACTTTAGTTCCTGCCTGAGATGGAAAATGTGGTTGGAGTGGTTTGCTTAGTGATAAATATCATCAATGTCAGGGTGTGAGGCTGTGTTCACCCTTAAAACATAATTAAACTGGGACTGCACAACAGCGTGGTCTGGCCCTTATGTAAGAAGAGAGGAATGAAATCCCAGCTGAGAAGAGAGAGTCCAGTTGGTACAATCCTACTGCCACCCAAGTTAAAGATACAGTACCACAGCAGAGAGATGTAGCTGAAGAAAGCAAAGCATGGGGAGAGAAAGAACCACATAGCTCATACAGGAATCCAGGAAAGCCAGTAATGAAAACAGTTGCAACCCAAATCTAACCAGTCTTTTGACAACTGACTTGGCAGGATTCATTGCAAACAACTTCCATTCCATTTCCATTCACTGTGCCAGTAATTTCTTTTAAATCATTTAAAAGCCCAAATCCTAGTCAATACGAATGACTTGCAGAGAGCCCTCATCAGTCAATGCAATAGCTTTGAATTCAGGATGACAAACCTGGAGGAAGAAAAATTTCTCTTTCCATTCAGTATGAAGGCTCCAAAGAGCCAGGGAAGTGAAAACGGCCTCATTGTACTCCCTGTTCCCCAAATTCAACCCCGGAGCGACAGGACCAGTGCAATGGAATTTTGCTGTTTCCCTTGTTAAAGGTTGCTTTGGTTTGGGATCGTTCCTGAAGCTGCCACGAGGACACTCTCTCCATGGGGCAGGTGACTCCAGTCACCCCCAACCCGCCCAGCACCCACCATTAGACTGAACTGGGATTGTGCCTCAGTCTTCAGGGCCTGATTGTCCAACACCTACTGGTAGGTGCAAGGGGTTTTCCCTGGAAGCCACCAGCCGTGTCCTGTGGTGTCTACATGCTCAGGACAGAGGGGTGATCAAGTACTTCTCAATTCCTGCACTAAAAGTCAGCCTCTAAATGGGGAAACACCTTTTTGCTCATTTCACGTTAGTGAATTCAGTCATCCCAATGGGCCCTGCTCCTTTCTGAAAACACAGCGCTCTTCAGAGGAAAGATTTGGGTGTTCTGAGCTCTCTGTAGGTCCACCCTGTTTACTATGTATTGGGAAAGTTAATTTAACGTGAAAACTGTTTTAGGGATGGGGTGTGTTAAAAAAAGGGGGAAAAAATAGTACCATTGATTAGTCTCACCCTTTGTATTCACTGTCTACACGAATGGCATCAACTTGTCCAATGTGGTTTGCACAGCAGGTGCAGTGATTCATTTGTCACAGAAGGGCAGATTCAACTTCCTAACCCTGGAAGCAGGGAATTCCCCCAAAATAACAAGTTATTGCAGAAAGTGAAATGACTTTGTATTTAACTCCCAGTGCAAGATAAGCTCTTGACAAGACTAATTCCTTAGGCTGTGGTTTGCTACTACACCGTCTCCAGATTCAAATGGCAAGGATTTATGCACAAGAGAAAAATGAAACAGTGTGAAAACATTTTTCCTTATTGATGTAGGATTAAGAAACTATTGGAAAATACTCTCTTCTGTGAATAGCTACTGCTGCTACTTACACTAATTATCCCTGGATGCATGCACAAGCTGAACACAGTATGGGACAATTCTTGCACAATTCCATCATACCTCATACAAACTGCTCTGTATTTTCATAGAAACAATCTAATACCGCTGAATATAGATAGAAAGTCATTGCTGCCATGAACTTTTGCATCTAAAGTCCTTGCTTAGCCAACCACAAATAGAAATAACGCCGCTCACATGCAATGAGCAACATGAAAAGCCAAGTTTTTGATGCTAAAATCCAAAGAGTAACGTGAACTTTCAGAGTAACAGTTTTAATTGCTCTTTGCTTAAAAGAAATGCTTGCAGGTTGTACTTTAATGGCCTATAGAAGCGGCACCTTCATCTGAAAGTCAGCATGACACCACCACATAAAATAAGTTGGTGGTGGATGCCACCAGCTATACCAATGGACAAGGGCAAGGCTTGGCTTTGAGTCTACATGGGATTGATTGTCTTGGCCAGTTAAGCAGTTCTGTAACTGAGTAACTATCAAGGGCAGCGAGGAAACAAGGGGAGGATTAAACTGCAGAGACCCAGTCAGGAGGTGTCATTTCTGTAGACAGCTTCTGAGGATACCTGCCATCTGCTATTCCAAAGGCAAACCAACAAAATCAAGACAAATGTTCATCAGACCCTCTCTGAGCTATGGGTAAGACGTTTCCTGCAATGAGGGCGTAGTATTGGCCAGGTAAGGAAACCCCAGTGCCAACACTGCAGCCTCCTACCCACTTCATTTGCACTTTGCAATTAAGCACTGGGATACTGTATCTTTAACTGGTGAACAGACATGGAGAACACACAGATGCTCCTACTTCATCCGATTGCTTCTCCGTTTGGCTTCACTGTCATCCAGCAGTGAAGAGAGGATCTGGTAGGCCTGCGGCTGCTGCGGTCCTCCACGTTTGATCTTGATGCTGGTTCGCAGAGGGGAGCCCGGGATCACATCCTGTCCAGAGCCTGGCTCAATGGAAGATAAAGAGTCTGTAAGGAGAGAAAGTCACGGGAAAGCACTATTTAAAAGGGGAGGCTAAGGAAAAAATAAATGGGCCCTTCTGGGTGGTAGCTCTTCTGGAAGAAGCGTCATCCCTCCTGTTGTCTCTCCATCCAGTAAGCAACTGTGGAGCTACATGTTTGCTGCCATTGCACAACTCCTAGATTAAGTCTTTTCCCTCTGCTTTGTCTAAGCTCTAGGCTACGTGCACTTACTGCATGAGGCCCAGCAGGTCATAGAATCATAAACTGATTGATTGATAGAATGGTTTGGGTTGGAAAGGATTTAAGATCATCTAGTGCCAACCCCCTGCCATGGGCAGGGACACTTCACACTAGACCATGTTGCCCAAGGCTCTGTCCAAACTGGCCCTGAAAACGGCCAGGGACGGAGCATTCACCACTTCTTTGGGCATCCTGTGCCAGCACCTCAGCACCCTCACTGTAAAGAAAAAAGGTCCTGTTCTCATTTGTCATTCCATTTATAAAGCACTGTTCTTCTATTGATGATAATTTGCTTGGGGTATAGCTGCTACTCAGCATTGTCCACAGCCTCCTGCTATCGAAGGATGGGGCCAAATGGTCGCTGGGAAGCGATGCTCCTGGGGGTTTAAGTACCATTGCACTCCTTGTAAAGGAGGACATTTTGAGGCACTGAAAAGATTGAACAAAAAGATTGATCCACCCTAAGCTAGAGCCAAATTAGCAATAAAGCTGGGAATAAATCTTAGCTGTCCATTCTCCCAGTGTGCCCCATGGAAACACGCACCTCCTCCTCCTCCAGCATCCTGCCCCATGAAGCTACATTGCATTTGACTATGGCCACTCTTCCGTTTCCCAGCAGCCAGCAATAAACGCTGATACCTCAGTGCTGCCCCATCATTTTTGATGCCTCAGCTGCTTCTTTTTGCCTTCAGAGATGGACATTTGCTTGTTTCCCTGCCAAGAACCCAACCTCCCAAGGCAGACACCCAGCGGTGGTTCGACCCCATGAGGCAGCATTTGTTTCAAGTGAGGATTTGGCTGCTGGAGGGTTTGTGCTGTGTTCACTGGAACTAAACGCTGCCAAACAATTTGGGCTTTGGGGTGTCCTGCTGGGCTGCTCTCTGCATTTGCTGGGCCAGATAATCTCCAAGTGCCCTCCCGCTGCAGGGAAGAGGTTTGTTTGCTGGTATGTTTTGCCTTGTTGCTTGGGTGGCTGCGGGTTTGGAAACCACGCTGGATTGAGAGGTTCCTTGGGAAAATGAGAGCATGCAATTGGCATTTCTGTGTGGGGCTGAGTTGGGCTGCCCAGGAACCTGTGGTCAAACCCATAACACCTACGGTGGGAACATCACCAGATAGTTGGTGCTGGGTGGTTTAAACCTGCGTGGGGAGGTCTGTGCTCAAGGAAATTCTATTTTGTTATTTGGTGTCTTTTTATGTTTAACCATATCCACACACAGGGATGAAAAGAATTGCACAAGGAAAAAATACCTTATTTTCCAAGTTCTCTTTCTAAACAGTACTTTCGTAGGGCCTAAAATATGTCAATATTAAAGAATGGAACTTTCTCAAAAGCAAAGACTGAAAATATCACTTGCTTAGTAATAACCTATAGTTATTGGATAAAAAGGAACTATTTAAAGTCATACAATATAGGTGTCTAAACATGGCCTAAACTGCACTGTACAAATAAAAAGCATCCATTTTTGCTGATGCACCCGTATAGAAACATACCTGGGTATAAATAACTCATCTCCATCCCAAGCAGCAGCAGAAAATATGTCAGTATAAACAGTTTTCAAAATGCCTGTTTCAAAATAACAGCAGCATTTGCCTTGTTGCTGCTCTATTGCCAAATAAATTGTAAAAGAAAGGTAAACCAGGCAGTCCTGCAGTTGGGTGAATGCCCCAGTCCAAGCCCCAGTGGCTACAAAAGCTTCCTTTTTGCTTTAGACTACTATAAATGAAGGTACAAAGTAAAAGTCAATGGAGAGCCAGGCCCTGGGTCCTGTGAACAGGCTGCGCTGTGCTCATGGACTGGGCTCCCCTTCCCCTCTCCCCTGGCTGGGCATGGATTGCTGCTGGTGATGCAGTGGGCATGTTCCTGGTACCTGCACCACCTCGCAGCAAAGCAGCATAAAAACGTCTTTTCCTGCCCTCGATGTATAAAATCCAATGAAAATATGAATCAAGCTGGGATTAATGCAGAGGTAAGCTCAGGGTGACTGTGGTTAAATCATGGGTTTGTGATTCATCATTTCCCGAAAAGCTGAAGCTGTTGCTGCCTATTGCTTTTGGAAATAGTACTTTGGGCCTCTAAAAGACACGTGGCCATTGAACAGTGAAGAACAGTCAGACACCCAAGACAGCTCAGCTGTACCACAGTCTCACACACCAGCACTGGGCTTTGAAGTGCCTAATAGCATTTGCATTTTAGTGCTGTGCTGGCTCCAGGAGGGGCCTGTGGGCTCTCGAGCAAGAGCTGCACTGCATGGTAATGGTGCACTTTAGGTCACTTGCTTAGGAACTACTGGACATTTCAGCTCTTTAGCATTTTCACAGGTTAAATCAATATCCAAAGGCCACTTCATAATAAAAGAGGATGTCGATCTGAAGGAGGGTGTGAGCAGCTCGATTTATAAGTGAGGCCAGGAATGAGGTTCCGTGTGTCAAGGAGAGTATAAGAAAGAAAATACTATGGGACTTGGTGAGTGCCAAGGAACAGTAACTGAGGCTTGTGTCTCACAGGCTGGGGTACTAACTGTGTTTCTGAAAGGACACGAATTGGCACAGGAACTTTTGGCAGCTGTGAATTGATCCTCAAGTACCCCAAAGGGAGAAGCTTGATCTGCGCCAATCACACCAGCCCATATGCTGGTTAAGGGAAGGGAACACTTGTTAAGGGATGATGCCCCACATTGTACCAGTGATGGGAGAGAAAATATCCTCAGCAGAAAACTTAAAATCTATCTGAATGACAAACACATGGGGCTTTCCTTAAATCTGACTGTGAAAATAGGTTTTATGTACGTTATAATCACCAGACGTTCAGGGATCGCTGGTTTCAGGGTACATGGTAGCACTGTTTGGGCTTTCTCTGTAAAATAAAGCAAGGGCCTCACTGTGTTGAAGTCACTTGGAAGACACTGTTAACAGGATTAAATGATCTGACCTAAAGAGTCGAACAAGTAGCTCCCTGGGAAGCTGGTAGATGATCTGTGCCACATGGCTTGAGCTGCTGCTCGTGACTTGGCTCTGAATTGTAATGAAAATTATTGGGGGTGGGAGGAATCAAGCATCCTTTAAGTCATGCTGGGGACCTAGTTTTGAAAACCCAGCTTAAAGATACAGTTGAGAGACAGTTCAGGAGCCTGGGGGGGTGTTTAACCATCAAGCAGCTGCCTGAACAAGCCCCCAGTTGTCTACAAAAGGAAACCTTAGCCCCACTTACCATGAATTCCTATCATGTGCTCAAGAATCAATACCCTCTCGGCTAAAATCTTCAGAGCTTCTCGAAGCTGTTGAACACCTTCCCCCTGCAAAAAGGAAAACGGACAGTGGAATACGATGCAGAATAGGCTGCTTGTTCCATGTAGCCCCTGTAGCTGCAAACTGTGCAGTGCAGACATTTATAAAAGGTAACCTACAGGGATTAAGTGGGAATGCAGGAGAGGTCCCTACTTAAAGAACAGCTCTGCAGAGTTTGTAGGTTCTTTGGCCCAAAGCCATCCCCTTCAGACTGGTTCTTAATTCTGCAGTGGGCCAAAGCCAGGGTGTAAATTCCTGTCTCAGAACCCCAGACTGGTTTGTGTTGGAAGGGACCTTCAATCTCCGCCAGCTCCAGCCCCTGCCCCGGGCAGGGACACCTTCCACTAGAGCAGGTTGCTCCAAGCCCCTGTGTCCAACCTGGCCTTGAACACTGCCAGGGATGGGGCAGCCACAGCTTTTCTGGGCACCCTGTGCCAGCGCCTCAGCACCCTCCCAGGGAAGAGCTTCTGCCCAAGAGCTCATCTCAATCTCCCCTCTGGCAGGTTAAAGCCATTCCCCTTGTCCTGTCCCTACAGGCCCTAGGTCAAAAGACCTACAGGTCAAAAGCCCCTCTCCAAATTTCTTGTAAGCCCCCTTTAAGTATTAGAAGACTGTCAAACCGTTACACTGGGCAACTGGTGTTAACAACTATGCTGAACTACCTGGAAAACAGGTTTTGCTCTTGTCTAACATTTACTTTGAACATCAGTGAGTTACCTGGGCTTTCCCTTTCTCTTTTTTTCTTAACCAGGAATCTGGGACATGTAACTAGCACCGTCCTGTTGCTTCCCTACAAACTGGAACAGTGGGATGCAAGCCCATCCTGACGGGCTTCATACTGCCTCTCAAATTGCTCCTAGCTGGGTCACATGCTGCCCGAAGCCTGTCCACATACTTCCACATAAACTCAGGCTGTAGTTTGTTGCCCCCATTGCCTTGGATGTGGCTTGAAGGGACAGACAGCCTACTGTGTAGGAGCTCTGTGTGGCAGCACCACCACTGAGGTGTTCAGAGAACACAGTGAGAAGGGCAGCTGACAACATGGCCAAGGAAACCTCAGAGACCAGGATTTCTAGTGTGTATTAAGCTCAGACCCAAGGTTCACATCATTGCTTGCTCTGTGCTTAACTGTGGACACAACCCTTGCCCCCACAAACCAGCCTGCCAAAGGGAATATGGTTGAAGGACAATGAAGAGATAAAAAGGAAAATAAAACAGCAGTAGAAATACACACTTACATCAGCACCTTTGTCACCTTCCTCACCCTTCTTGCCTGGTTCACCCTAAAACAAGAGACAGACATTTGTTTTCATGTGCCTCAGGACCTGTCCTGGACCACTTGCATCCCTTCCCTCCAAAGGAGCAGATTAAAGGCAGAAGTGTTTCACCAGCAGAAAACAAACTGATGCTCTGGTGCTTCATGCCAAGGGCCAAAGTGCTCTCATGAGCATCCACCAGCTTCCCAGGAGGTCGTCACCATTTCTGACACTGAAGCACTTGGCCAGGAGTGGCCAAGCTGCAGGAGGGGCTGGCTGCCATGGCCCAGGCCCACAAGAAGACTATGTACATCTCATGAAGCTCTCAATATGCTTTAGGCTAAAACACTGAGATAAAAATACCGCTCCCTTCCCCCAGAGATGCACGTGTTCATCTTTGCTTTAGAACATAAAATCCCCTATTCTGCTTTCATTAGTCACATCACTTGCTGCCTCTGAAGATGCTCATTAAGCTTTTCTTGAACAAGGATCCCAATGTGCTGTGAATATTGGTCTGCTGTTCCACCCCCTGACCAGGAAGTTCATGCCTTTCCCAAAGGACAGATGACATGGAGAGATTAAACCACAAGCTAAACATAAAACAAGGCTAACAAATTTGTGAATAAGAGACTGGAAATTCCTGGGCTCCTCCAACTTGTTGGACATCCCTGAGATACTTGCAAAGCAGGGGGGGTATGGGAGGAAGGACTGAAGAAAAGGTTGTGTGAATCATACAAAACAATGAGGTAGAATTAAGGCAAAGAGAAGAGAAACCTCCCAGAGGACCTAGGCCCTCCCTGGATGCTGCCAGCCAAACCCCCAGCTTGTTCCACTAGCTCACTTTCATCCAACCTTCATCTCCATGGGTTTGTTTACACCCTAGCCATATGCAGGCATCTCCTGTGTGCATCTGCTTAGGTATTGTCTCATTTGGAGACATCTTTTAATCTCATTAAAGGGTTTCCAGCTCAGCTTGGCAGACCAAGGCGCAAGAGGACGTTAGAGCAGGTGATGTATTTTGAGTTGTTTCACAGTGCCCACCTTTGGGCTCTGGTAGTGCCAGGAACCTCCTGGGACCTTGGAGAGGGCTTCTGGCTGCCAAGGTTTGGCCAGAGGGGATCTCCAAGCAAAACCTATCCCCCCTGTTGGCATGATGCCTTCCTGAGCATGGCATTCCAGCACTGTGCTTAGCATGCAGGAAGACACTGGCTCATTTGCAGAGGAATACGTTCAGGTGAGGTTGCCTATTGAACAAATGTCTAAGCTGGAGACAGTTGACCTGAGCATTGCAGCTGAGAGAGCTGGTGGGACCAGCTGCAGTCCAGCTCGGTGGTATCTGTGGTGCCAGGCAGGCACCAAACCCATCTGAGACCTGCACACACCCGCAAGTACATCACTTACAGGAAATCCCTTAATGCCCCTCTCTCCAGCCAGACCTGCTTGTCCCTGTTGGAAATAAAGTAAGTGTCATTAGGAGATAGTTTTCCATGTGACAAGAACATAGTGTCATTTTTACTAGTGGAATTAAGATGGCTTTATGAAAAAAAATCCTCTCCCTTGACATTATCACTTAGAGACAGCAAAAGGGGGTCATGGTTTTCTGTCAGGCATCAGCTCCAAATCCCATCATGCTCTGGAGAAGTTTGGTTCAATACAAAGCTCCTCAGCTCAGTACCTCTCAGTAAGATGATTAGCAAATTTCTGAACTTTACAGCAGTCAGTTACGTTACACCAGGAAGGAATTTGGCTGGAGATTTGTTTCTTCTCCTCGCTAGTAAAACTGATGGGCTGATGCTGCCCCAGACAGCAAACGGAGCCCAGGACTCCCACAGGGCGCTGATTTAATCTGCCTCCTGCTCCACACACACATCACTGCCTCAACCCCAACAGCTACTGATCAAAACACACCTACAATTATTTTGGTTGCTTTGTTTCTTTTTCCTGCTGTGCTGATTTTCATGTTCTTTTCAGTGTGGGGTTTTTTTGATCCTTTTGAAATGGTCTGTGTTGGTTTGGGGCGGAATGAAACGTGCCATCGAACTGAGCATCTTTCTTCCCCCTACCTTCCTTCCCAATGTTGGCTTCCCACCCTGGAGCACGCTGGGGCAGGGCAGAATCCCTGACCAGGAGAACAGTTATAGACTATTTCACGTGAAAGCAGGAGATTGGGAAGAGGAGGCAAAATTTAAAAGCATCTTTAGAAATCCACTGGTGAAACAGTCACATATTTATCCTGACTCTTCTCCCCTAGACATACACAGAAACAAACCCATCCTTATTTCCCCCCTCAAAAACTACCTAGCTAGTGGCAGCTTTCTGTAGTGTTTGCCAGAAAGGGAGAGCTGCTTTGGTTTCGTGCCCATCAAACTGCTGCTTTGTATAAACCCAATGGGCCCAGAGCATCTACAAAACGTTACTATGGAGAGCTGCACAGTGCTCGGTGAGCAGCTAAAGCCAGCACCAGGCAAAGGCCCATAGGGACATAAAGAGCACTGGGAGAAAGGCCCAGCTTGTCAGGTGCTCTGAGCATCTTCAAAGGGAAATACTTGGATCCTGCACAGGAGGGAGGAAGGCCTGTGAAAAAGCACAGACAAGAGGCAAATCACAGAGAGGAGACATAACAACGCACTCAAAATACATAAACAGACTGTTCTCTGTGTCCAGGGGGAACAGAAAGGATGTTATCAGCTTAAAGGGGATCAAAGGATATTTAGGCTGGATGTTAGAAATGTCTTTTATCCCAGGCCCTCACTAGCTGTACCTCTGAAGACTGCCTGGAGATGATGTGGTGTATCCCTCCCTGGCACTGTGTAAGGATAAGATGAAGAGAGGCTGATGTGAGCAGCACACGTATAGATGTGCCATCCAGGGGATGTGCTCAGACTGCTTCAGGTCTCTTCTACATCTGTTCTCTCTGAGATTAAGCAGGAAGAATGTATAATAACATTTTCTCAAATCTCAATAGTTATTGTAAACCCTCCTCTGCTTTTCTGTGCAGCTGCACAGCTCCTCCGCTCTGTGTAAAGCTAGCCCTAATTTGTATCCACCAAACCCAAAATTGCAGCATGTAGTTGTCAAAACCAGCATGCAAATTCATACTCACAGAAGACAAAAAGCACACAAAGCATCCTACAGAAATCCTGCCAGAAAAAGCTACTGGCTTCACTTTCCATGTTAACAGAGGAGGACAGGAAGTGTCACTTATTTGTTATATTTAGCCAGATATTTTGATATTTGAAAATCTCATTAGTCCCCAACTTAGAAGGAGAGACACAATTCTGAGTACCTACCAAGGAGGGAACAAAGGCAAAGTCTGAAGGGTTTGTCTGTACTGAATGGACACAGTCCAACAAAGCTTTTGTTTCAAAATAAGTGGAGTCTTAGCAATATGGTCAACCACAAACTAAAGCAAAACGGTAAATGAATCATTGAGGAAGAGCTCTTATCAGTTTCCTGGATGGGAACTTGACACTTTGCCATATACCAAGCCTTTTTTTCTTAACTGAAAATTAACATTTAATGGCAATGAGCTGCAGTCAGTAACCTGTGCTGAAACCTCATCAGTTATGCTTTTGCTCTCTCTATCTATTTAAATTCTGGTCCCATCAGTCTGCAGTCTATTAGTAAAGCCAATATATGCCCAAAGTGGCTGCTCTGCACCAGGAAACTGTTATTAAAAAATTACTAACAGTCACTTAAAATGCTCTCTGTCTTTCAGGGAGCTGCAAGTCATTTCTTACAGAAGAACAGGGACCAGGCACCCAAACCAATGTGCGAAGGTACTAAAGCAAAACAGAGCTTTTTAAAAGCATGTGTGCTCCATCCTTGGGTATCTGCTGCTCCTTGATGTGAGGTGCTTCAGGAAGGAATGAAACAAGGACTTGCTCTCCTTGCACACAGTCTGGACAGAGGAGCATAGTTTAAGTATGTTGCTGGTTATTCACCTGAACTTGGGAAGTCATCAAATTGGAGTTAACCAATTTGCATTTGTCTTACCTCTTTCAGACCTCCCTGTGTCATTTGGATTGGAAGAGTGAGCAGAGATGAAGGAGATGCTGTCATATGGGGGAAGCACGTCATCTACAGCCACCCATTTACAGGTGGTGCCCTCCCTGTTCACCTCCAGCTATGAGACAGTGAAAGTGGCACTGGAAGAAAAGGGAACTTGTTTCCTAGAGCTGTGGCACAGGCTGTGTCAGTGCAGCCACCATGCAGCCAGCTACCACTTGAGAGGTACTAACCAGGATTGTCTCTTTCTTCCTTTCCTTGACTCCTCTGCGCACTGGGGTCTTGGTGATTGCCCCACTCCTCCTGTGCCCACTTCTACATCTGCAGCTCTAATTGCTGAATGACCCTCCACTAGGTATATATTCTCAAATGATTTTATGCTCCTACTGTCATTCAGAGGAGATTTCAGAGACCATGGCCTCTTGGAGAGTAAACTGAAGCTCCAAATGCCATTTTGAAACCCCTCCTGGTGCCTGAATGCTGGATTGGGAATCTGACACATTCATATCCTTGTTAGATTTTTTCTCTGGTGTTCCCTAAACTTCGCTAGTTTGGAAATAACCAGCAGTCTTTTTTACTATGCTTAGTTATTAGCACTTGACGACCCACCAGGAACTCAGGTATAGCACATAAAGATCTTAAGAACATGAATTCAATATTCCGAGTGTATGAAGAACATCATTTGACCTGGGGAATGGCTTTGATTCAGGAAAAGTCTGATGAGCTTTTTGTGCCTTACTGGCACAGAAGAAAGAGTTCAGTTAGACCACTCAAAATACTCCACGCTAAAAGAGCTGTGGTTGGTGGAACAAGGTTGGTCTGCACAAGCCTTTAAATACCATGTATTTGGTACCTGAATCTCTTTAGGGAACACCAGACTTTACAAGCAATTCAACCCTTTATCTGTACGGTAAACCCTCATCTTCTTTCTTGCAGAACACCCAGAAGCTCTACTTTTAAAATCACTCCTGGCTGTAATCCCACAGAATCTGAAAGACCTCTGCTGAATATAACTTCTGAGGCATCACCCCAGATGTGGCTGGGAATGTCTCTGTGTCTGTAAACCTTACTCTCTCTCCTCGGTCTCCTTTGGAGCCCTTTGGTCCAGGTTGTCCTGGAGAGCCTGGCAAGCCCTAGAAGAGATGCAGAACAAGAAGGAATTAATTTGTACTGTGTATCCTTTGAGTAGGTGTAGTGAATACCTTTCACAGTGATCTTCAGCTCCTGCAAACCTCAGACAACCATTAAGCAATTGGATTCTCTTTCACCCTCAAGTAAAACCAGTGGAAGCTCTGTTCACAGATACCCTAAGCCCAATAGTTTCTGCATATCCCTCTGTTTGGGTCTTTTAATGCACTGCAGGCTACTCATGGAACATATTTTAGGGGTCGGTATGACAGGATAGTTCCTGTTCTCAGTTACCAAGAAGAAATGAATACACAGGTAGTATGGTTAGCTTAAACCCTCCCCCTAACTTTCCCCCTCTTCATAATTGCCTCAGTGGGTGGCATGAGCAAGCACACATACCTGGAAAGTAATTGGATTGTGCAGTGCAAATTATTTTGAAGCTATTCACTCACCCTAATAAACAATTTTGAAATTAAGCCCAATCTCTACTAATAATTTTGCTCCCTGGGTTGAACAAATCTATACCCCAGTCACCAGTGGATAAGAGGGGCACAGTCTCCAGACTTCTACTAATTGAACTGCTTTGCAGAAATCGATCCAACTTCTTAACTTATCCACCAGCACAGCCACAGCCACAAACCAGACAGGGAGAGAACAATATTGTTTGTTTATACCCAGCACATCAGCTCCCCACGACCACATGCAAGATGCGACTTGCACATTACCTTGGAGACTGCAGCAATGACACTGCTGCTCTGCTCCAGAGCACTGGTGATTTCAGCCAACCTGCTTAACAGCCCCCAGAAACCCCCACCTCCAGAGAAATGGGCTTTCTAGGCATAGCCATGAGGAGCTGCAGCATCTGGTAAGTGGCCCAGCAAGGCTGGACAGAAGTGGTTTTCAGGTCTAAAGGAGAGCACTGTCCCGGGTGCAGCTGCTCACCATTACCACGCTGCTCCTCGCCTCCGTCAGCCCCACCACCAAGCTGCACAGTGACCTGGCCTCCACTTGGCTACATCTCCCCTGGGACCACATCAAATTGAGGAACTCAGGCCTGGTTTAGGAAGTTAATGAGGGCTGCTAAATGAGGTAGTGCACAAACCAGTCTTAGCTCTATGTCAAACATGCAGCATGAACAAAGCTTAAGTGTGCATAAGCATCCTTTGCTCTTGGCAACTCTCAGCAGTGACTTTCAGGGATGCTCAAGAAGACTGAATTTCACATGCTGAATTGTAAAATATAAAAGATTTATAATGTGTGCTGCATGTGAAACAGCCAGACTCTACTAGAGAACCTATTTATGAATTGTGAATTACCTTCTATTTAATCACATTAAACTGCATCTGTCATTTTGCTGCCAAATTTCCCACTGTGTTCATCTCTATCTGGAGTTCCCCATCGTTCTCCAGAGCATTCCCTAATTGAAATGATTCTGCTACACTGGCAAACTTTCACTAACCTGTTCTCTGTTGCTTCTTCAAAATGATTAATAAATACCTAGTAAAAATCTCCTATTTCCAGCAATTCCAACCCCCTTCTTATCAGGATATAAGTTACATCCCTCTATTAAGTTACTTAACCTCTTCAGTCACTTTTCTCTCTTTAGTCATGTTAGATTCCTTTGAAATACTTGGTATTACTGGTTTACCTCCAAATTAAGTAACACTTTCCAAAACTGGAGTCCTTTTGTATCAGCCAACCACAACTTGGAGTAGTTTGATAGTTCACTATTCACCATGACTTCACTCCTTTCCATTTAACCAGCATTTTCCCTTTGCCCTTCTTCTACCATGAATTCTTTTGAGTGAGTTTATCACACTCCATTATTATCTCCCCTCTCCACAATTTTTATAGTGATACATAATCAAACTGATGGGAATTTGTGATATTTTTCTTGAACAGAAAGTGCTATTTCTGAAAAAGGAGGATTAACAGGTTCACTTTGGTGAATTCCCATCGATGCATTTTTGTTCTTTCTCTGTATTCCACAGGAAATGCAGTATTTTTCCATCACTGTTAGTAAAGCCCATGTCAGATCCTTTGCATCAACTCAGGCCACAGTGAAATGGTTTGACACAGCAGCAGTAAGATGTGGTGTCATGTTTAAGGGAACATCTAGGACGTGCAACCATTGCAACCTCTCAATGCAATTCAGAATGGAAAAAAGGTACTAAAATCACAGAATTTCATAGGGAAAAAACCCATCAGACCTAAGACTTGTAACCCACTCTCTCTCTGTGCAACGAGATGTTTTCCACCCAGCCCCTGACTTTTGCCCCTCAGCCCCAAAGCACTGAAGCATCTTACTTGTGATCCAGGGACTCCGATAGGTCCTGGTGGCCCTTTGGGTCCTGATGCGCCTGGTGGCCCTGGTGGGAATCGTAATTTGAGACAATTTTGAGAAGACTTAGAAGGAAGGACCCTAAATTCCAAACACATGCATTTCCTTTCATTGTTCTGCTTAGTGTCTCAATGGGCAAGAGCCATTCATCGATCACAGGATTACAGCAGTCACATGCTGGATTGTTGGATACCCACATCCTGATATAACATATCCCTGTGACCTAAAGAAGATGTTAGAGGTCTGGGAGGCAAAAAAGGTGAAAAAAGGCAGGAAGGATGTTTGTAACATGCTTCATTTCCATTGTTTAAAATGACAACTTTAAAACTAGATCCATGAAACAGCTACCTCAGAGCAAGATACTACAGTTGCTGTTTCTGAAACAGCCTTGTAGGTGGCAAGGGAAGCCCACAGGCTTTCTCTGGTCTGTCTCTCTGGTGTTGTCAGAAAGTTGATGATGAAGACAGGGTTTGGACACAGCCAGCATGAGAGACTGACTGTGGCCAAGCCAAGCTCTCTCTTAGTCGTTGCTCACTCCACTGGCAACAAATTCTTTTAAAGTCTGCACCACAGAAAAGCCTGTTTCCAGGGTGAGTTAAACACTGTCTAAAACAGGTCAACTTGTTCTACACAGTCATTTAACAGATTCCTTCTGTTAGAACTCTGAAAAATAATTGTATCTCAACAGTAGCTGTTAAATTATACCTGCAAATGGGAGACAGGGTATTTGCTTAGTCTGAACTTAGCAATAGTCCTCTCTGCTTTAGTTGTCACAACCCTTGAGATGAAACAATGTGGATGTTATACACAACGTACAGCTGAATCAGCCTCAATCATTAATGCACCACACAATGCTTAAGTCAAAGAATAAAGGACTTGAAGGGTAAATTAAAGGCCCTCAGAATGAAAGGAAAAGCCTTCTCTGCAACTAATGGGAGTTCACTCCTAAATATGCATCATACAGGAAGTGCTGATGTCTGCAGGAATACTATCATTTCAGCCACCCATCAGTGCAGAGAAAAGAACTTGCCACTGAATTTTCATCCCAGATTCTGATTTCAGTTATACTGACAAAAATCTGGAATAGCTCAAACCAGCTCCAAAGTCTGCTCACACATCACGGAGCAGCTGGGCAGATCCTGCTCAGTGGAGCTCTACAACAGTGGTGAGAACTCTGCTCTCATAAAGGAACTCACAGGACAACCCATTGTTACAGACAGTCTTTAATTAGTCCCTTCTCAGGGTAACTCCTGCCAAAGGTAAAACAATCTGCCACTATCAACAGATAAGAAACCTGGTTACTTCTTGCCACCCTTCCCACTCCTGGACCCCCTGCTCTACTGCCCTTCAAATGGGGACCACCTGCTTTCCCTGCAGGCATCCCACAGACCTCTCTCCATCAGAAGGTTCTTTTGCTCATCTTCCTCATCATTGCAGCTTTGCAGCTCAGCTGAGGTTATTACCTGGTGGCCCAACAGGGCCTGGGGCTCCCCGAGGTCCTGGCAGGCCAGCCATGATGGTGTCTATGACGGTGGAGGCCAGCTGGGGTTCTCCATCTGTGTTTAAGACCAGAGCAGTTAGTGTCGAGCTGCCCAGCCACAGCAGGCAGGACTTCTCTCCAAAATCCTTTGGCGCCTGTTGCTGGCCAAGGGCAGGCAGTGCTTCAGGATGCAAGATTTGGGCTCTTGGAGCAATTGCCCTTTGCTTTCTAAGGCTGCGTCCCCTGGACCTGCAGATGCTCATCTCACCTCTGACAATCCCAGAGAAGTTCTATCTGTTAAATAAAAAGGTGTTCCCCCAGGCCTACATAATCCTGCCTTTGAATGCCAAAGCACATCTGGCTACCCCAGCAGGCAAACATGGATCCGGAGCCTCTCCTGCCCGGCATCAGTGAACTGCTGAGCCAAGCCAGCAGAGTCCAGCACATCCCCCCAACCCAGCGAGCTCGCCCTGGGTGCTGGGAGGTGTCGTGAGGTCCAAGGGTGCAGGAAAGCCTGGGCAGAGGGTGTGCTCTGCCCCCTCCACACACTCAGGGAACTCTCCTGCCATTTAGGATTATTTTAGGTGTTCAACTGGGCAGCTTGGGCAGGAGCACTGAGTTCTGGGGAATGGGTGGAAATGGGAGTGGAGCAGGGAAGGGAAAACCATCAGCAGGGACTGGAGGAATTCTGTGCTTTTGCACACCTTTCTCAGTCCTCTCCTGTTACAAAAAGCAGCAGCCTGTAGCTGTCCCCATCTTCCCTTATCCTTAACCCAACAGGCTTAGCTCTTCAGCTGGGAACTGAAGAGAAGAAAACACAGCTATGCATAAAAAAGCAACCCTTACCACTCACTGCAATTCCAAACCCATACTCAACAACCCTACTCCCTATGGACCTGTACTGTACCATCCTACTTAGTAACCTGTGAGGGCACCTGTATGGCAGCATCTTTCATCTGAACATCCCACAATCCTATTTGACAGTTGTGAAAACCTGGGGGCAAAAATTCCATGACGAAACCTGACAAGATCACAGAGCAGGGAAGGGAACCCCCACGTCCTCAGTAACACCGTTACCAAGAGATGCAGTCCCCTGTCCTGACCGGTGCTTTATGACCAACGATGTATGTCCTGTTGCATTTAACCTGAAGATGTTGGCTCCTGGTCACTGGGACACTAAACCCACTTTCCACAGCTGGAGGCCACAATGCAGGAAGAATTACTCTGCAGAGCTCAGCCCAAAGGACACAAGGTGAAGTCTCTGGAAATGTTAGCAGACACGTTATGAAGCCTTTTCAACTTCTGGAGTGTTGGCAGTGATGGAGAGGACTTTCAAGCTCATTGTTTGAAAGCAGATCCTAGGGAAAACTGTGCTATCTCTTTAACTGCCAAGGATGACAGTACATCTCTGGGATGCCTTCCCGGCAGCAGAACAGCACAAGATCTAACCCAGATCCCTCCGAGAACCAAAGCCTGAATGTGAACAGGTCTTTGAGTATTGTTTCTAACCCCATCCATCTTCCCTTCTTCACAGCCCTGAAACTAAACAACTGAGGCTGTTTTTATGTTCAGAAGGAAAGGTACCCAAGTGAAGTGTGTAATCCAATTAATTTGAGTTTTATTTGACCATGTCAAAATCCATCACAGCTTGGGAGAAAGATGAAATTGGGAAATGAGCATCAAACAGCAGTGAAGGCATTAACAGTTGCAGAGCCTTTTGTTTTAAAGTGCTCAGCAAAATCAAATGCACATTCACTGATGGGGGGAGAGGATGGGCTGCAAATAACCAGGATTTAGTTACTGCTAGAGGTAAGTCAGGGATAAAGATTAAGGTTACAAAACATTCCAGCTAAATGGGACACTATTATGATGAGGGTTACACCCACAATCCCACCCATCCTGACATTTGTCTCCAAGTTATTTATGGAGGGTGATTCCATAGCTGTGACACAGAGGAGAGCTCTGCTCAACAGCCCTTCAGCGTGGTAGCTCCTGATTTGGCCTGTGCAGCACAAGGAGTATGGACATGCAGAGCAGCTCCTTCCTCAGCTGCCTGGCCAGGCAAAACTCATTCAGATCAAGGTTACCTTCCAGGATGGGCTCTGAATGAAACACACTGTGAATGAAAAGGGATTGAAGTGTGTTAAAACACAACCCTCATGTTTTTAGGGGGCTCTCTCCATCTTCCTATAAAGCAGCAGAAAGAACATGTATCTCCTTATAAACTCCTCTCTCCTTATAAACAGGAGGACACTCTGGGGCTCTCTGCAGGTGGAGGCTTTATAGCAGCCACAAAATAGCTCCAGCAACAAATGGTAACAGGAATCTTCCCTGTCAGCCATCTCCTGCTGGGCTCAGAGGCTGGATTTTGTTTCAGTGCTTCTGGAGGTACCAAAGCAGGAGGCAGACAAGTGTCTGCATTGTTTGTGAAGACCCTGATGTGCAGCTCGCTCCAGGAGCTTTCCAACTCCTGGCCAAGCCAAGAGGAAGCACACAACCAGTCTGACCTGGTCACACAAAAGCACCTATTTTCTCTGGGAGAGGGCACAAACATCCTGCAAAGGGGAAGCCTGAAATAGCACAGAAATGCCTCAAATGATGCAGTGAAACCTGCCCAGAGTGTCGAGGCATCGCAGAGGCACAGGCCTAAAGAGCTCTGAAAGCAATGGGTATGGTTTCCTAAATCAAATACCTTTCCCTTCATCCTCTTCTTTGCCTTTGCTTCCTCTGCTCTATTCACCCTTCCTCAGGAAGGGCTACACACGGCAGCAGGCTCTGGGATGTCACTGCACAATGCCTATTCAATGCCCCTTTCACCAGTGACCTGCTGGGCACACAGGCAAGCCTCCTGTGCCTTGGTTCCCCCTTGCTCTCTCTGCAAAATAGGTTAAATGATATCTCACGTGCCCTTTGCAAACTGGAATCTTTGGGATGTAAGAAAACGTGGCCCTCAGAGTGAAAGTTGAGTTCTTTTCTCTTACTTTTCCCTAAAAATCCTCAGTTTTAGCACAAGAAAGAGGACTGAGCTGACTCTACACCACATACCTGATCCATGCATTTTGAAGTGGCAGCAAAAGCAAGTGATCCTCGTAGCAGCAGCCTCAGCAATGGCACGTGACAGTTTAGCTTCTGGCCTATGTCTGATGTTTCTGACTAAGGGATAAATTCCCCGTTATAGGCTTGACTTGTTGGGACAGGATGGAAATGAAGGAATCCTGTCTTCATTTCTTTCTGCTACCTGATCCGGAGGGAGACAACTGGGACCAATTCCTTCACCACAGCACAGTGAAACTGAGAGAAAATGTGTCTCCCTGGTTTTGGCTTCTGGCTGCTGATAAACATTGCCATCAGGAACTTGTTGTGATTAATAAAGGCACAAGCAATAACAATGTTCAGGCGGAACCAAACACTGTACTACTAATAATGTGATCCAGCTTTCTCACATCTCCATGAGTGCACATGCCTGTTACCAGGAATATGCTTCCCTCTGCTGTCAGCAGCTGGAATCTTGTGTTTATAGTTTTCAGATGTGCTCCATTTGAAATAAATAAATACATTAAAAAAAATCCTACCCAGAATTTACAAGGCTGCTTTATGGGTTGTAGAGGAGCAGCTTTCCACCAGCCTGCAGCAGGCAGCACCAGCCAACACAAGCAACACAGTGCGTTTTGTAAGAACATGGTCCTGGTGTTGATGTAACTTTACCATGACCACCCAGGTAACTTACACTTGCACGGAGATTTGGACTAAGAGAAGTTTTTAAACAAGAAAAATGGTTAGAAAGTTTTTGGGCTCCTTCTGCAAACCAAGAAATCCACCACAGCTATGGAGGAGAAGTACAGGGCTGCCCAGGGATGTAACAGTCACCATTTACTCACTGTCCTCAGGTCCGTGTGGGAGCTTGTTACTGCCCAGTGTTGGCAGAGTTAATACAGATATTTATCCACTTCCCATTTTGGGACAATACAGAGCTGACCCTTCTCACACATCAGCTGGTGACCAATGCCTTTTACACTTTAATTTATCCACTACTTTGCAAGAAAGAGGTTAATTTAAAGGGTGGTTGGAGGGAGAGGGCAGCAGCAATACCCAAACCATCCCAACAGATCCTTTGGAATTACAGGTGGGATGCAGAATGGCACCATTTGGTGCGATCCTGTAAGGCAGTGAGGTGGCTGTAATGCAACAATTCCTTGTCACAAGGCATGAACACAGCAGATCTACAAAATCTACATTTTGTTACAATCTTAGTACTGAACCACAATTCATTTCATCCTGCCCCCAGTAACTGAATGTGAAACGGAGCTGGTAAAATTCTTCCCAAATTAAAAATACATCTGTTCACTTTGGGGAAAAGGAGCCTGGAAAGTGGAGTGGGAGGAAGGGAAAGGAGAGCTCTAGAAAGCTGTCAGACACAGGGAGACTTACTAATCCTTGGCTGTTACTGATACAGCTGAGCTTTGAAGCTGGATGTGAGCAGAAGAGCTGGGGAAGAGGCCCAGCTGAAGTCTGGGGTAGTGGGGACGGGAGACACAGCTGAGCTGGGGCTCCAGGAGTTCACAAGGCAAGTGGAGACACAGCTGAGCTCTGCTTCACCGTTCTTAGATCCCAGCTACTCAACACTGGACCAGAAGACTCAAGCCCAAATCTGAGAGCACTCAGATAAAAGTGCACAATGCGCCTCTTCTAGAAAGCCTTTTCCTGCCATGCACACCAAAAGCTAAATATACGTATTATTAAATCCCCATAGGCTCAAAGAAACCCTGACCCTCCAGTGACAGGGAAGGGAGGCATCACCATCTTTCAAGGGCTTTCAGGCCTGCAACTCTGTGGCTTGTGTGATGTGTGGTAACGTTGATGCACCAGAAATGCAGGTGGAAGACACTTCTACGGAGGCAAAGAAACTGCAGCTTCACTGCACCAGCACCTACCTGGCCAGACTGTTATAATTCTCTACCCATTTGTGTCTCGTGATGCTACTTGAGCTGCCAGTTCACTAGAGACCCTCTGCACAGCAGCTACTCATGATGGAAGCTTAAAGGACACCGAGTTACCTCCTCAAAGCTATGATGAACCCAGAAAACCAGGCACAGGGAACTGGTTTTAGAAGAGCAGTGACTTAGTTCCTCATTCTGGGGAGGTGAATCCCTCCAGCTTCTAAGTCTTACATGTTTCATCTTGAACAGGAACTTCCAAGAGCCCCACACCATGGTGGGAGATGGTCGAAGGCCCTGGCAGAGGCTGGCAGGAAGGTGGGAGGAAGAGCTGAGCTGCTCCCTGCCTGCCCCCTCTGCTGGTGTACCAGGAAAAGAGGGAAGAGGAGGAAACTTACTTTCTTTTTCAGCTGTGGGCTGGAGCGAGTAGAGAACCCCTTGTTGGAAGGTAAGAGGGAGGCTTGGGGTGGCTGGTGGCCCTGGAGGACCCGGGGGACCCGGGATCCCGGTTTCTCCTGGAAGTCCTCTCGGTCCTTGAGGTCCCAACAGCCCTGTGCAGAGGCAGGAGAGGATGTGTTAGTGCATTTCAAAATGTGCTGATGATGCTACCATGTAAAAAGGCGGTAAGAAGACAAAGGATTTCTGGCCTGCCCTGTAATTGTGGGAGTTAGGGGATGTGCGGGAAATAGGAACAGCTTCTCAATTTTCCATTACTTGCCTTTAGTGTCTTCCTCTGCAAAGCAGATTAGCCTCATTTGGCTCAAAGGTGCTGCAAGGCTTAACTCCTGAAAGGGTAGAATCTCCCCTCTCCCCTTAGGCTGAGCAAGAAGCTAAAGGCAGTGAGGAGTGAAATCAAGCGCTGCTCTTTCCCATGTATGTCACCTCAGTGCCAGGAAAGCCCAGGGAGAACAAGGGAAACCCAGTCAGCCCAGCAGCACACCGGTTCTGCTTCCTCCGAGGCTGGAAGGCTCCTGCTGCAAGCTGAGAAACCAAAAGGCAGACACATCCTTGGCCAGACTTTAGCCACTGACAGGTTGCCAGAAAACACCAAAAAGCACACTCGCATCGAAGGCACGCTCCAAGTTCAGATCTTCCCTGAGCTCAGATGTACAAGACCCAGCCTTTTGGACACACAGAAAGCACAGAGCCAGATCTCTGGCACCTATTGTGTAGTATCACCTTCAGCAAAAGGTTTAGGAACATTCTGGGGATGAGGGAAGTGTCCCAGCTTGGCCTTGTAACCTTTTCCCTTAACATACAAAAGCATCATTAGTTTGACATCCTGGCATCTGACAGCCTGACACAAATAGTGGAGAAAAAGGGAATTAAAACAGGCACACAGTGAGAGGGTGAAACAGGGAGTGCTCTTCTCCAAAGGCTGACAGATCAGAGACTGGTTTTTATGGGGAAACATGATCCTGCTCTGCAGCTTTCTGGGACAAGCTCTCTCCAGCTCCACAGGAAATCCCAGGGACTGTCATTGCTCGTGCAGGTGGTTGCCCACTCTGAGAGCTGCTGGTTGATTTCAGTACCCAGGGGACCCCCTGGAATGGATTCAATACCACCTGGAGATGCTCAACATCTTGTGTGTCCAGCTTTGTGTATCTGTTGTCACAGATAGTGTGTATAAAGTAAAACATCTCCCATCAGGGCAGCACTGCCCCCTCCTCCAGGACTTACCTGGTGGCCCCGCTGGGCCCCTCTCACCGGGTTGTCCCTTCTCTCCTTTTGGTCCTGGTGGTCCTGGAAGACCAGTTGGTCCAACTGGGCCTGGAGGACCAACCTGTCCCGGCAGCCCTGAAAGCATTCAGAAAGGAAATTAGTTGGAGTTTAGGACACTGCTGAGGTCAGAAGGTCTTCAGCAACCTCGAAACCAGAGAGAGACTCAAAGATGCAAGGGGGAGAAATGCAGCTCTGCACAGATGGGATGGTGCTGGCTGGTATGAAGGGTAGAAGAGCCAGGCTGGACCTTGCTTGTCCTCTTCTTCCTCTAATCTTTAATGAAACAAGCAGGTCCCCACGTACAAGGCCCACCCCAAACCGCCAGCAGGATGGGCTGGTCAAAGCTAAACTGAGCCACACTGTCCCCTTCCCAAGGTCGGGATGGCTCCGGGCAGGGTCTGGCTGGTCCCTCAAGCAGTCCTTTGTGAGCTTCCTCCAGCCCCACGTGTCAGCTCCACAGTAGTGCCAACGGAGTAGAATACACAAAACATCTTTGCAAAAGCAAATCAAACCCTGTCTCCCCCTCACACTCGCTGATCCATACAAACCACCCAGAGACTCTGCATCAAAGATGTTTCCCTGTTTGCTGCTGTTTTCATTCATCTAACAAGTGCACCATGCTGCGCACAAGCGTTTTTCATTCCACGCTGACACTAATGCACCCACACCACTGAACTAAGTAGATGTTACTAATTTATATCAAAGAACAGGGCGCTGAGCAGCCCCATCTGGAAGTACCAGTAACAATAATTACAGCCCAGCGGGATGCTTCTTGGCAAGTCCACTCAGTCCCCCAGTAAGGTGCAGGCAGTGCTCGTAATAGAAAAGTGACTATTTCTAATGACATTAAATAAAATCTTCATGTTGTTTTCTTTAGACTAGCAAAATAATAACAACTCCTGGCAAATTGGAGAGTGTGTTTCAGAAGACCACTGTGAGTCTTTGGCTCACAAAAGTAGTAGCTGCTTTGGAAAGATACACTTAAACACTATTCAAACATGAGGGAAGCCTTTAATACCTTAGAGAGGTGGGTGAGTTAGCCTGTCTACTCAGATTAAGTGGTTAATGGTTATAATAAAGGCATTATGTATATACTGTCAGAGCCAAGAGAGTCAGAGGTTCTTGGTTTCTGGGCTACCAAAGGGCTTTGAGTATTTGAGAGCAGGGGCAGATGTAAGCGACAAAGCCAGAGGGAAATCGGGCCGAGTCCAGGGTTCAGTGCACTCAGGTTTCCAGTTGATTTCTGTACATCACACGTGACCATAAGCCAGCAGAGCACAAGTTAAGTTTTGATAAACCCTTAAGCAATGTCCTTCCCCTTCCCTGGTATCAGTACAGGTTCTGGACCCTCCAAGCACAGCACCAGGAGAACCTGCTGCATGCAGGGGGTAAAGAATGGACGGGAATAGAGGAAGAGAAGGTCAACTGGCCCGTTCACAGCTGCTTCCAAAGGGAGCAGGGTGACACAACAAAAACCAAGGCTCACAGGATTTGCAACTCCCACATTTGGATCCAGTCCCACTCTAGGTGTGGGACAGCCCACCTGGGCACAAACCCCTGACCCCCCCAAACACCCATCAAACAAAGCAATAACCCCCCCGTATTACATGCCCTTGAAAGATTCCCCTTCTCTTTTTCTTTTGTTCTGGAGAGATGTCCAAATGTTTTTTCTTACAAAACGAAATCCACCCATCTCTAACCCATGGTGGAACTGGGCAGACTGAAGAAATGAAACTGTCCAAAGGCTTTGTGTGGAAGCGTGTGGCTGTGCTTTTGTTTCATAGAGTCATCACTAAAGATGTGATCTGGGTAGTGACAAGGAAGTAAAGTAAGGTTTTAATTTGGATCAATTTGCTTATCCACAGGACACAAACTGCAGACCTTCCTGTGAATAGAGGGGTTCCTATAATGGATCTCACCTGGCAGCGGATGCTGCACTTGGCAAGCTCAGGCAGGTGACCAGGAGCCCATTTCAGAGAGCAAGAGCATTTGGTCACAGCATTGCAAACAGCTTCTCCCCCCTCCAACCTCCTTCCAACACACCTGAAGCTTTATTGCAGCAAATCCTTTCCAGCATGAAGAACAGCAGAAACACTGTTCTGCAAGCAGCACACACTGTCCTGCTGAGTGTGGGTCAAAACATCTCCTCGCTTGTATAAATCAGCCTCAATCCTTCAGTTCAAGCTTTGTAACTCAATGCCCTGAACTTCTGCAGACCAAGAGCAATCACTTGCTGCCAGTATCCTCAATCACGCTGCTGCAGAGGAGCTTTAAAGAAACTGGCACTTGCTTCCCTGAAGGTGGAAAGTGCTCAAGGAGAGGCTGGGAGAAACAGCACTGAGTAATGTGTCAGGCAAATGCTCATACTGGTGACAAATGGTGTTACCAGCATCAAAGAGACAAGTGCAAAAAGAAGAAGAAAGAGAGGATTCAGGGGAAAGGGGGGAGGGAAATGAATAGACCAAATCTTCAGCTGCCATAGATCAGCTCTGCTGCAGTGGCGTTGCTCTCAGAGAGCTGAAGCCCATGGCAAGTCTTTATCCTCCAAAAATATGAAACAAAAGGCCACAGGATAAATAAATAAACCCCAAAAGGTATAGAGCCAGCATTCTGCTGCTGCAGACCAAATCCGACACGCAGAGACCTGGATTTTCTTCCTGGTTCTGTCATCAACCTGCAATACACCATCTGTTCCCTTTCCTTCCCCAAGGTTTTCCCTGTACAGGAGCAGGGTATTCTCTGTTTCTATGGAGCCTGGCAAAACGATGCCCTGACTGTCCCCAGCAGCTCTCGGTGCCCCTGGCAGGCAAAACCAGCACCATAACAACAGTGGTGTTACCTCCCACCACTCAGCACGTGCCCTGCTCACCCTCACCTCGTGCCCTCCAATGAACTGCCCCTCACCAGGCAGCACCTCCCATCCCCTGTGTGCTGGGGGAACTCCATGTCTCCAAGATGCTCAAGCTGGCGTTTCACCCCTCCAACCAGAGCAATCCATGAGCAGATAAACCCCAAAGAATAAACCCAGCCCCTCTGGATCCATGAGGCTCCAAACCACAGAGGACTCCTGGCCACAGGATCTGGTTTTTGGAACGTATCATGAATAGGACTGGGCATAACAACGTTTTGTGTTTTGAAAGGTGAAACAGCAGAACCCATTTACTCACCCTGTGGTATTAGCTGCTCCTGTGCACCTCTGTGTCCTTTAGGCTCTAGTTAAAAAGATCAGGGTGAAAAAAAACCAACAAACAAAACAGAGATGAAAAATTAGTTCTCTCACTGCCAACTGGCTCAGCCACAGTATGTGTATATATGTATTTTCTTAATACTCAGTAGAATGTATCCTGTTGATTAACAAGCTGGTCCGAAAGCCCAGTGGTGCAGCTGTCTCAACAGCTCTGATTGCTTTTAAATGATTGTCTATTCGCAGCCCTGTCATTCATTCACAGAAGAAATAACTGCCCTAATAAACAGTAGCAAGTTTTCCTGGATCTCAGCCTGGAGAGGCAACAGCCAACCCAGAGCTAGAAGGTCATCCAGAAACACTCCAACCATTCAAAGCATCTAAGTTCATATCACCCATCTTCGTGTTAGGCACCAACATTCTGCCCTTATTTCCTGCAGCTGAGGAACCCTGTGGCACACAAGCTAGGATTTGGATTTGCTTTGGCTGAAAAACTAGCAGCAGGGTAAAGTAAGTGATACTTCACAACAAGCCTCTGGGAAGGGGATGGGAAAGACCAAGTTTTAGCTTTCCACAGCCCCAAATCACACAGGACACTGGGGTTTGATTTCCACCTACTCTAATATCAACTTGCTGAAAGATGTGAGATCTGCAACCTTGGTAAGTGAACCTGGGACCAGCTTTGAGCAACATGTCACAGCACAGTGTTGAAACAATGCAAAACGGGCAGTCGCCCACCATCTAAACCAAGTGTGTGGAATTCCCTACATGTCACCAAAACCCACAGTACATTTTTTTGGCTGTAGACACAAACTGGTGTGAGGAGGGAAAGAAGCCAAATATGGACCCCAACCCATGCAACATGCTCCTTAGCAAAGCAAGAATTTGAAGCCCACAGAGCTTAGTTAGAGGCTGCACCAGGCAATTAGGTCAATAAGCAACTTAACTGATTACTTCTAGTTGCTGAAAGACACTGTCATGACTTGAAACAATCCAGTGCATTCCTGACTCCCAGTTATAACACTAGAATTGTTATGACACACTAGGTTAAGTAAAGCAAGGCTAGAAAAATAAAGGGTAACAGAGAGCAAGGACTACACCTGGTAGCACGGGCACAGCCTGGAAGTCTGGCTGACAGGACACTCATGTACAGCATCTTCATTCCCTGCTTTCTAGAGGGGATCACCTCCTAGATTTACTGCAGGGATGGAGGGTGCTGATAGTGCACCACGGAGTCAGCCTGATGTAAGTGCTGCAGGAGGTCTCTTCTGTTCTGCAGCACTGCCAAAAGCCTGAGGGTGAGTGGCATTCAGTGCTCCTTGCTGAGCAGGAGGAGAGTATCATGTGTACAGAGCCTCTGAGAGGAGAGGGCTTTGACTGGGACAGAGTCATCAGTGCTTTTGCTGGATTGACTTCAGTACAATGAAGTGCAGGTGCAGAGATACTGCGACAGCAAAAATAAATGGCATGGAGAAGGCAGAATGAGCATATAATGGACACTGGGGAAACTGCTTTAATTCAGCTCCTGGCAGCCGCCGCTGTGGTTCTGAAAATACTTTGCAGAACATATTGTTAGTGAACCTCCCTCCATGTTGTGGCATCCTGTCAAATAATAAACATGGACCACATCTGGTCTATGTTGGTTGCTCCAAGTCCGCTGCAGTCATGAAGGGCTGCCATAATAAACTGCTCGGCCTGAGAAAAGGAAGAAAAAAGCAAAGTAGGCCCTATAGAGGATAAATTGCTAAAGAACTGCTCTGGGAGCAAGCACAGCAACTGACAGACAGGGCTTTGGAAGCAGAGAGCAGGGATCTTGCAATGAGAATGCCAAGGTCAAGGAAATTCGATGCGTGGGGATCTGTCTAGCCAAGTGGGCTCAGAGGGAGATTTTCTTCTAAGTGTATTTTTTTGTCATGCCACAAGAGGGATCATAAAACAGCCCATTGTGTTTATGGCAAATGTGAAAAATAGAACGCAGGCTGCAAGTGATGCTGCTATTCATGGGAAAGTTGCTTGTGCTAATAAAAGCAGGAATTACCCCCACACCCCAGTGCTCTGCCTCCCCACACCGCTCCCAGACAGGGACACGCTGCATTCAGTGCTCAGGAGGTGACTATAAATCCTCCCCTGTGATCCTGATGGTTCTCTAGAGTTTGCTCAGGAATGTTTCAGTCTATCCAGACCTCAAAATCCACAGCCTTTGGACTTAAAAACATGCACACTGAAACACACGGGCAGGCACAGTGGCCCTCCTGAGGTTACCAGAAATTTGACGTTCTGGAGACCAGAATTCAGCTGGTGCCAACAGAAACTGAGGTTAGCAACAGGTTGTTAAGGTTGGCAAAATGGAGTTTAACATGTTAGTTTCGGAGCTTAGCTGCTTTCTTCCAGGAACAATGTGCTGCCTTAACTCGAGAAGCAGCAGAGACGCAGAAAAGCCCAAAGGCTTGGGAAGGGGTGATCCTTCCTTGGGAAGGGGTGATCCTCACTCCTGGCACGGGCAGTGGGAAGGGGCCCTGAGGACATCAGATCCAGCTTGCTGCAGCTAAACGGATGGTTCGAGGTGGGATCAGAGGGGATTGAATTCCTCCCTTGTCCATGAATCCACATAGGTGTTGGTGTGCGACTGCCTGTGTTCACAGCTCGGCAGAGAGGGAGAGACAAGAGGCAACGAGGGGTGGAATTCGAAGAGCTTTAAGGTCCCTTCCAACCCAAACCACTCTGTGACTCTGCGACAGTGCAGAGGGAAGGAGCTGCCAACGCTTCCCTCTAACTCCTCTCCCCTGCAGCTTCCAGTACTACAGCAGACTGACACAGCCTCCTTTCAGCTACCCTACAGGAATCGTGTACGTAGGGTGGGCGACGTGGTGAGGAGCAGGTCAGATCCCACTTACCAACAGGTCCCACTGTTTTTCTCAGGACAGTCCCAGGATTCAGCAGGGGAAAGGCATCTGGCAGCAAATCGTCGTACCACGTGGCTGTCGTCCCAGTGATGGGCAGGTTGTTCTCCAGTGGTGGGCTTCGCTCCGCAGCCTCGAGCAGGAGGATCTACACAGGGGACACAGGGAAGGCAAACAAGGTCAGTGGGATGGCTTCATACATGGTCTTATTCCTGAAGAGGTCTTGAAACTCCTCCCCTTGCCAGCAGGAGCTGTGAGTAACCACCATGGACTACAGGGTTTTGGTGTTAAAGCTTTATGGGTTTCCTGGGAAGTGGCAGTAATCAGTGCAGGAAGCCTCTGTGTGAAGTTACAAGAGGATCCCCCACACACCCCTCCTTGGAGAGGGCTTCACTGCTTCCATTTTCAGCCTCATGTGGAACTGTGTCTCTGCTGTTAAGGGACACAGCACTTCACTGCTGGGTTACCTGTTCACATCCAGAGTCATAAACTGCTGAGAGCTGGTGCAAGGTGAAGGGCTGTGCCCTGGATATCCAGGTACCTCAGAACAAGTACTGCTTGTACGTCAAAGCACAAATGCTGCCCAAATTAAAGATGATGGAGAATATGAAGCTTTTAAAGAGCTTGGGTGCTTTCATTTCGGATCAAACAAAAGAAAAGCAGCCAATTTCCTCAAACAGCTTCACTCAGATGTAATAGGATATTATTTAACCTCACAATGGTTTCTATACTTTGCAAACACACTACTTTCAAAGAAATCCACATCCCAGTGTGCATCCCTGAGCTTCCTGGGCCATTTTCAACCTAAACTCCTTGGCAAAGTAACCCCGTTACATTACATTTACTGCTCTCCATCAGGCTGTGCTTCCCCAGGCACTGGTGGCCTGTATGAAACTGGAAGTTAGTCTTTAACATGGCTGCAAAACCCCTAAATGCCCACGAGCAGCAGAGGGCTGGAGAAGTGAAGCCCAGGGGAACAGTCAGTGCACTTTGCACGCACCACTTCTGCTGAAAGTTCTCACAAGATCAGGAGTGAAAACAAGGAGCTACTTCCTATTTTAATCTAAGTATTTCATCTCTCTGCCTTCCCAGCCACTAAGCAAGGGTGGCAAAACAAAGTGGTCCACAGATTTCATTCAAGAGGCCTAGCCCATCAGGAGCACTGTTGGAATGCCAAGCCCACATGCTCTGCTGCACATGGGTTTTACCTCAACTGCTAGACAGGATCCAAACAGAGACCAAGGGCAGCACCCACTATGCCAGTGGCATCAGCCATGCCTGGGAAGCAGCAGCAATCCTGCCACTCACCTGGCAGCTGGATCAATCCCTGGCAAAGCCGCTTGCTCAGGATGGATGCAGGATGCGCACCAGGTAGGAGCAGGGCTTAGGTTTCCAGAACAAGAGTTTTGATCCAAGCATGCAGCACCTCCAGCAAAATCTGCTTTCTAAGCACAAAGCATCAGGGGGGAAAACTGAGGAGTGCAGCACTGTCTCTTCCTGTCTGGAAACCACCTAAGCAAATACTGATCTAGGGATAAGGGAAATAAAAGAGAATGTGGCTCAAACTTTCCACTAAATCCCTAGAAGTTTCAGCTTCTACATGCTGTGTTGTCTTTACATAATGAAGTCACACTGCAATTAGAAACGAGAGTGACTTGGCTCTGCTTGTTTGTTTTTTAACTTGCAATTATTACAAGGTTTATCACTTTTTTATTACAAGAGATGGTGAGAGCCAGGACTGCGGCAGCGCCAGAAATGATGAACTTCCTGCAGAATGTACTGGCCTGACAGGGGTGAATCAGAAACTAATTAAACTGGGAGCTGGGTTAAGTGCGAGGGAACTGAACCTCAGCTGTTGCAAACAAGCAGAGCTCTTCCCTTATTGCAAGGATCCTGATTGATGGATCCAGAGCTCTGCTTCTGGAGTAATAAGAAAGGAAAAAGGAATCAGGTCACAGTGTTTTTATTCAATGGGCTTCTCTGACGCCAGGCGAGGAAGGAATGGGTTCAGTCTGGCTCTTGCACGTCTGTGCTTCTACCCAATGACTTATTTGACAGACTTCCAAGGAATATGCCATCAGTTCAACAAACACTTAAGCATCTAGCATAATAGTGCTTAATTCCCATTGACATGGGACTCAAGTGTGCATTGAAGACCTTTTCTGAATCGCTTTACACTGTTATATTATCCTCTTACTTCCCCAGCAAAACATACGGATGTTGCCAAAGCGTGTTTAGCAAAGGAGGTAAAACTAATCCTGGAGGTGGCAAATTAGAGGGGCTACAGGGAGGGAGGGAGGGAGCAGGGTTAGGATGCTCCTGCTGCGAGGAAGGGACCGACAAGGGCTGTCCTGGACAGTATTTTGCTGCAGCCCAGCAGTGCTGTGGGAAGAGGTGATATTAAACCCATAGGAGCAACGGTCAGAGAGCAGCAAACCACAGGGGTCCACGGCCCTCCCGGGTGGTGCGAGTGGCTCGAGCACAGCTCTCAAGGTTGCATCTGGAGTGGAACAGCTCCAAATCATTTTTATGGGCGATAATAAAAACGTGTTACCACATAATCAACACAAAACAGTGGCAACGGTATCCTTTTCATTAAAACAACATGTTTTAATGCTGATAAATGCTGTAAAAGATTTAAAGGCATGCACAGAATAATCCAGTACGCTGTTTTCTAAATGGACTATATATACATAGCAGCCATCAAGGCTCAAACCATAGCAACAAGTTTATTTTCCCTGGGTGCAAAATGATAGAGGTCAGGAAGTCTCCAGACTTGAAATTGCTGAGAAATTCTAGTTTTTATGATTAGGACTGAGGAGGTGCCCAAAAGAAATAAAGTAGAAAGAAGAGAGCTCTCACATCCGTGAGATCCACAGAGCCAAGCTAAAGAAGGAAAAGCACAAGGGATTTAGTCACATTGAGAACCTCAAACTCTTCCAACAAGAGTGTCCTTTCCTGAGCTAGCCCAGCACAAAGCACACACGGGGTCCTTCCACGTTATTGCAATAGCCCTGGAGCCATTCATCCACTTTCTGTCACGTTCTGTTTTTCTTAAGGCTGCCATTGCCTGAGTCAAGGGACTCGAGGAGAATTCCCACTTTCATTAAACAAAAAAAGAAAGTCTTCAGCCCTCTGAGTAAACTGCTGGAAAATGATCCCACAGAGGCTCACAGCCAGGAAGCAAATTAGCAAAATGTGCAATCTATTAAAGTCTAAGTATTAACGTCTTGGTAAATTCCAGTCAATAAGGTTGAGGTAGAGAGAGGGATAACACCAAGTGAAGAAGAGCGTGTAGTGGAAATCCTCATTGCAAGCAGTGCCCACCTCTGCTGCTGTGACCACTTCCAATGCACGAGTTATGTCTCCAGGAAGAATGGAGGCAGAAAACATCCGAATGCCACCAGAGAAATGAAGTATGGCTTGATGCCACGGGGCATGTCAGTCGTGCCAGCCACCAGAGCAGGTACAGAGAGCTAGCTGGAGGGCAGACCACTGCAGAAGACACGGAGACCTTTCCTCCCCAGTTTGTGCTGTGTTGCACAAGGAGGAAGATGGCCTCAACTCAGCAGAACACTCAGGCTTTTGTCTTTTTGCTCATATGGAGGCAAAAAGTCAAATCTGAGCCGAAATGGACATGCTGAACTGGAGCCTCTGGCAACAGAGGTCCTGCCGGCACGACGGCCTGTCTCTGGTTTCCAGACCCCACCTCTCAGGCGCAGCTGAACCGGGTCAGAAAGCTGGAAGGAACTGAAATGGGGCCACATCTCCTGCCAACACCGCAGCGGGAGACGGGCCCGGGGTAGGAGATGGCGTGTGAAGGCGAAGGGAAGGCGGGAGGGATGAAGCACTGCCCTGGCCAAGGAGGTCACTGCCTGCAGAGCCCAGCCCGGGGCGCGCCGAGAGCCGCGCTCACCTCGGCACAGGGGCTGGCGCTTGCTCTTCTCCCGTGGCTCCAAGCCTGGCTCCTCACTGTGGGGCCCGCTCACGCGCAGGGCCCTCAGCAGGGACATTAGTGTTATGTGCTTGAAGCTCGGTCCCAGCTTACTCAACCCACCTCCCCCTTTTCTATTTGCCAGCATAAACTTTGTGAACTTCAGACACATACCACATTTCTTATGTCAGATCAAAAGCTCAGGCCAGGGACGATGGAAACAGGAGGAAGGTTTTCATCTTCTTGAGATGTTCAGTGTCAGAGGACTTTTTTTGGCTTGTAGTGGCTTTCAAGAACCCTATTTTGGTTGTTCCCACACATCAAAAGAAGATTTCACAAACACAGCCTCCTCCCATCATCTGTCCTCTGCTCACATTCCTGATGTCCTGTAACTAGTAGGTGCTAGAAACAAGGGAAGAACAGCCAGGCTTCCAAAGATTTCAAAACTGATACAACAGGGTTCAGAATGCTTTTTCTTTGGATAAAAATCCATGGAAATGCAAGGGGAATCATTTGACACAATCCAGATGGATATTATTAATTAATAAACAGGGGATATCTGGTCTCTTGAAGCATTGGTGGAATTAACTCCCTTCCATCCTTTTCTAAAGAGGAGGGAAAGAAACTGCATGAACCCGGCTCATCAGCTAAAAATTCCAGTGTAAAATAAGATTCCCTCAATCTTGTAAAGACACAAGCTGATTAATAATGGTAATTGCATAACTTGTTGGCCATATCTTTCTTTATAGCAAATTATTTGGCAAAACAGAAGTTTTTAAATCATCCATCAAGACACAGCTAAACAGGGAGTTTCACAAAACCTGATGGAGAATGGTATCTCTCCTGTAGCAATATGAAACCTGTGAACCCAAGGCTCCAATGCAGATGCAATTGCTTCGTTTCAAAAGCCAAAATACATTCAGTGAGTGTCCACTAAAATCTGATGAACTGGGTGCCCAGAGAGAACCTGGGTGACTTCATCCTTACAACATCTTAGAGGTTTGGCCAAAGGGGACAAGATAATTAGTGCATGGAGGAGTTTTGGCTGTACTGATAAATGATGGGGGGAGCAATAGCTGATCTCATTGTAGTGACCCAATTTAGACCAAAAGGTAAGGTTTATGTCACCGGTTATTGCAAAAGGAAGACAGAAATGTGGACCAAAAGCTTCTACAAGTCCACAGGTTGCACAATTCATGCTCTTTCTGCAAAGG